TTAGCACTCTTGTCAGAGTGGTCGTGGTCATTAATTAGTATCTTGATATGGGAGACAAAATTTTCATAAAGATTGTTTAAATTTTTGATTCTTTTCCTGAAACTTACATCCACTAATGTAAATTTCATTGAATAACTGTCATCATCAAGTCAGCTGCGAGTGGCTCACTGACGGTCGAACGCGGGCTAGACTAACTAGAATCCATGTATATTATAGTTAATTTATAAAAAAAAGCTTAGCTATTTTACAAATACTATCCTAACGTATAACCGTTTTTATAATATCACTTATGTATTCACAGATTGCTTATTCGACTCTCTGATAGAAGATGCTAAAAAAGATGAACCACAAAAGACATTGACAAAATCTAAATCAGAGAGCAATCCTCATCCGACGAACTTAATATCGAGCGACAGCGACGCTGCGATACAAGCGTCACCGCCGAAGAAAAAAGCAGCTCCCAAACGTAAACTGATGAATGTCGATAAAGACGAGAAGAAGACCAAGAAGAGGCCGGCGCGGGTCATGCTCGACCAGGACTCCGACGACGAGGACAGCATATTTGACAGTAAAAAGGTTTGTCTCGATTTTGTTAGTGTAGCTTATAAACATTACTCACAAGCCACAATTTAGTAATAAATTTTTTCCCTACCGATTCGCTGGTAGCCTATGAGGCTATTCCAGCTACGCCCGGACGAGTAGGTGAGCCCACGGGCTGAACCTGAGAGAATTTGCGAACACTAGCCATTACAAGAGCGGTGATTCGCAGAATCTACTATCGGATCGGAAACGCGACCCACTGAGAAGATCCAGCGAGAAACTCAGTGGGCTGTGTCTGTGAGTTAGTTCGCTCGTCGCAATCGACGATTTCGAGAAGGATGGTGACCGGTGTTTGAAGGTCCTAAAAGCATCGAAAGTGAATCCGGGGGATCAGTCACAATAACAATGTACTTATTGTTATTAATGTTATCCATAATCTCCAGAAGAAACATGTATTTCTTCTGGAGATTATGGATCTTTGCTGTGGAATTTGGTTGTGCTTATTCATTTCTATGTTGCTTATGGGTTTCCAAAATATACTTACTATGTGAATTTTGTTCTCAGGGTAAAAAGAAACCTGCTGCGAATCCCAAAAAGAAGGCTAAGAAGAAGGTGGAAAGTGATTCTGAATCTGACTTCAATATAAGCGACAGCTCATTGAGCGATTAGAATAGTTTTAAAATAATTGGTGAGTTATCTTATTTCTTCGCGTTCTAAAGGCACTTAATATTGCTCACGAATGACTCACGGTGAAGGAATAACGTCATGTAAGGATGAAATCCTCAAAAGTCACTAAGCCCTCAAGCCTCACAGGTACGGCGCTCACGTCGTCATGTCTATGAATCCGGATATTCACTTCACAGCCGGTGGGTGAGCCCGTTTTGTCTACGGAATTTAAAAAATGGTTTCTTTTTGGCAATAATTAATTGTTTTTAACAATTTTATTGGCAACAATGTAACATTTCTTATTGAGGGTTGTGTGCCTTATGTATCTAACTGCAACACCATGTCTGTGCAATGGATGGTGTAAGAGTGGGCCTAAGGAGCATAGCCACTTCGTGTTTCTTTAATCTTTTTTATTTTACTTTTTTTTATTGCCTTCGTAGGCAAACGATTATTGCTGCAGACTGCTCTCACGATGAGCTGTTGTTTTCAGATGCAGTATCTGAGCGGACTACACATTTTGAACGACGACACGAAGCGTCTATATATGGTTGTAATATATAGTTTTTATATAATACGTCGATTAGATATTAGTTATTTTATAATACATTTGACGTCTGCATACAAAGGTTGCTTTAGTTGTAAAGATATTTTTGTATTGAATGCTTTATTTACGATTTCATTAATTTTTATTATTGCCTCAATTTTATTTTCAAAATGATTATTGTCCATTGATTTGGTATTTTGTATTCTTTGTTCATTTTTGGTAGACCTAAGAGATCCGTGACTAGATGAGTTTTTAATGAACTTATTAACCCACAATTTAAATATAAATATTGACTGTTTTATCAAGTTTTGAGCAGAGGAACGAAACGGAATAAGTGGATAAAAAACTTGAAGTTTGATGTCGAAACCTGTATATACCACATAATGCATGTGTGCACATTTCATATTATCCTCAGAATTATGGTAATCAGCATGATAATTCACGATGAAATGTTTCAATAGTACAAAAATGTGTCTTTACAACTATTTATTTATTTAGACTTAGCGAATAAATATTTTTAACGCTTTAATTAAATTGGCAGGATCCAATTTTAACTACTGAGTCGTACAGTAGAATTTTGAAAATAAAAATTCTTTTTTTATGGTTTATTCTCGTATTATTTAGCTTTAGTTCGAATAGCTTCCAACATTTTGTAATAGTAACCGACATTGTATTATATTGTAAAAGTTGAATAAAAACATTTGCACGACACTTTATACTAGTTTTAAAACTATGAGTAATTGAAAAATTTTTAAATATTGAATTTAAAGAAAAAGTGATTTAAGAATAAGCTGACACTTATTTAATTTAAATAGGATTGTAATTGTGAATTGAACAAGACGCATGAAAATCAGATGTTGCAATATTATGAATACAAAGAAGTCCCAGTGAAGCAGACAAAAAAATAAAATTGTTTTCAATAATACCATATTGAAATTTCATACAAAATGTACTGACAGTATTCAATATTCAGTTACACGGCTTAGTTTTTGATATGTAATTTATAATAATTGTTACAAAAAAAAAAAAAATTGTTATAAAATTGATCCAGTGCATTATGATTCGTAAAGGTTACACACACCATAAATAAAAATAAAAAACTATTATTATATTTGAATCTGATGTAAATAAATGAAATTGAATTATTTCGTAATTTTAACGAATAACTTTTATCGGTCGAATTTTCCGTACTGTGGTCTAGTTTAGATCGTCCGAAATATATTTTACATATAAAATATATCGTTCAAGACGATAATAAAAATTAATAATTGAAATTTTAGAGATATGTACTAAAACTATTTCTTTGTGTTTGATGATAAAAATGTAATATTTAATAGGTATATAATATAAATAACGGCGTCTAGTTAGTTATTAACAAGACAGTTTTATATAAACATAAAAAAGAAAAACGAGAATTTGACTATGAAATTAAAAAACCTTTCCGAAAATCGTTGTTAAATATACCTCTTGTATTGTAGATAATTATTGTAATAAATAAAAATATATCACAATATTTAGATGTGTGAGACTTCCGTGGTTGAAAATATATCGTTTTTTCATACTTTTATACGTGATTTTAGAATTCAATTAAATACAGTTTTCGAGTATAAATATAACGCTCAAAAATATACACTATTTCTAATGCAGAATTTCATTTTAAAGAAATTTCTAGAACAAAATTCTTCTAAACGCTGATAACAGTGTTATTATTTATTTTTCTGATGACTCATTTTAATCGTAGTCATTGATTTCTGGAATGACATTCTTTTTCTTCTGATATTCTTTGTGTGTAGTTTTTTTGTTTCTTTTTGTGTGAAGTTCCTGGTTTTTTTTTAATTGTACATTAAAGCTATTGCACTCTGTGACGTAACATCGGTCTCTATTCAATCGATATCGACTAGACAGTAGATTAAGTCATTCGATTGCGAGTTATTAATAAAATAAAATAAAAAAACGTCGGCTCCTATTGTAGTCTCCGAGATATAACTATTGATTGAAAGATTGTTTTTATTAATAATAAAATGGCAACCCTGGTAATTGTGATGTAACGTTTCGTCGCTATTCTTCTCAATTTCATTGTTACAATAAATTCGTCATTAATTAATATTGTCATTCCTTAGTGTTTTTTATTTGTTCAATGTATTTGATACTGTTTTCAAGTTCTGTTTGTTTTTGGTTATCATATATGAAGCTTTTCATATTACGGTATTTATTTCGCGTCTGTTATGTGTCTTAATTAATTTTCAATTAATTTTTAATTCTTATCAGTAAGTCTGTAAATAAATGAAGGATTTAAGAATAAATATTCGTTTTATTTTTATAAAATTTTCTTTTAGATACTGACCTGTCCGAAATCGGTTCAAATAGATATATGTCGATGCCTCCAATGAACACTACTCTAACTCAAAATTTTGAAATTTTCGTTTTTCACGCAAATCGCTTCACTATTATAAAACGATTACAAATTATATTGATGGGGTTCGAAGCAAGAGTAAATCAGATAGTTACACAAAAAAAAAACCATAAATATATCTGCAATAATAAAGATTTTATCAACTTTTTTCGTTTAAACGCTCCTCCTGTAAACCTAGGAATTTTTGGAGTTAGCGTAGTGTTCGTTGGAGGCATCGATGTATTTCCTTAACTATTCGCTAGTAGCGTATGAGACTACTCCAGCTACGACCGGACGGGTAATTGAGCTCACGAGCTCAACCTGAGAGAATTTGCTAACACTAGCTCTAGTAAGAGCAGTGCTTCGCAGAATCTACCACCGGATTGGAAACGCGACTCACTGAGAAGATTCTGCGACTAACTCAATGGGCTGTGTCTATGGGTTAGTTGGCTCGTCGAACTCGTCGTAATCGATGAGTTCGGTGAATCGATTTAAAGAAAAAATTGGCTCAATCGTTCTATTTCAACTCTGGACGATTCACTGAGGTATGCTTTAATAAAAAAAAAATGTAGTTTCTACATTAAAACAACGTGGTAGTAAAGTAGATACTAAAATTTTTTTTTCTTTCATTCTTGTAATTACTGATCAGGATACAAAGTCAATAATAAATATCATCACAATAAAGGCGAAAGTAATGAAATTGTTTTTCCGTCATTAGTCTTTGATTTCGTTATCCAGTATTGGCAATTAAGTTAATTGAACGTCTTGAAGATGATGAAAATTAATTTGAACTATTTTGAACGTAGACAGATCAAAATGTTAACGGAGTGTTAAAAAAAAAAAAAGTCATGTTTACATATATAAAATTTATTAATTTATCTTCTAAACAATATATTACAAGCTGCAGATATAACAATTTTACAGGTGCCATCATTTAGTAGCCATAACGAAAAATGTATTCAACGAATAATTGGATAATTGTGAACATTCCTCGCTTGTTAAGTTCATGCTTAAATTTTTTATACAAATAATGTGTCAGTCACTTAAAATAATTATTTTCCGTGAATATTAATTTCTTACTTAAACTTATAATGTAATAATTAATATGGCATTTAATTCATATTTAACTTAAACTAGTATTATTTACATTAAATTAGACAAAATACTAAATAGAGTTTAATTTATTAACATAACAGGAATATTTGGATGAAACATTTTCCATACCTTCTTTTCAGAGAAGAAAATATAAAAGATTCATTTATTCAAATTTCCACATGAGATTAAAGTTCGATAAAAACGTATATAAAGCATTTATATAATTATTCAGAGAAAACAATTTTTCAATAGCAAAGAAAATTACCTAAACTTGATAAATAAAAAAATAGAATGCTTATCACTTCCAACAATAAGAAACTACCTTCGAACTGAAAGATTTTATTTTAAATAAAATTATTATACAATTTTTTTTCTTTCAAATTTTTTTTTTATTTGTGTACATATGTACATAGCTTTGAACGTTTACCGACATCATTCAAAGGGTACAAGTCGATTGTTTTGTGCGTTTAATATCATTGTGTTTCACTCGTTCAAAATACAATAAAGTGACTAAAATGTTATTTTATAAAGAAATAGAATTCTACTGCGTAGTTTCTAACCGAAATCAGCAAATCAGTAGATTTTGATTTTTGTAAAATAATGATTAAGTTGTATTTTTTTTTAAATTAAGGCGATGAGTCGTATTGTGTGATTGTTGTTATATTACATCCACATTCGCCGCCCAATTTCAATGTATCATAAGAATATCCTCAAAACAAAAGTCGATTCCATTTTTCAGTACCTACTCAGCTTGCTTTCTCTATCAGAGTAGCCTTTTGCACTTTCCCTGTCCGAATATTTGCCATTGTACCTATTATGTCCATTCTGCCGGTACTGCTTCTCGCTGGCACTGTAATGTATTTCCGAGGGCCCTATTGTTTTAGACCAATGGTGGGTCCAGTGGAAGTCATCCGGGTATCGAGGATAGGGGTTCTCTCGGCACAAAACTACGCAGTACACGAGACTTCCCACTAGAGTTATGAAGCCAAATATCAAGAAGACTATACCCAAGATCCTGGAAATGAAAAGGAAGTTTATGTTAATGCGAAGAACCAATTTTCGGGGGTAGGTAAACGAATTCTGGCTAAGCTAATTTCTAATTGGAAAGTATTCGAAACATAAAAAAAAAAAATTTTAAATTTATAAACAATTAAAAAATGCATTAAAAATTAACTAAACAATCTATAAAAGGCGAAACGAAATTGAAAAATAATAATTTTTAATTATTTATTGACCGTAAAGATATGTAATCTCGAAGTAGAGACATTAGGTGAGGAATATTTAAATTAATTTAAAACTGTTCTAATGTCTATGGAATTGTAAACGCTTCACAAAGGTAACATTTAAAAAAATTAATACGTAATGTCCCGACTGCTTCAGTATTATTGAAACTTTACGCACATTATTGTTATTTTCACATTACGAATATATATTTAGGCGACGCCATTCTCAATTGAATGTTCGTGGTTCTCAGTAATAGCTAAGTGCTTATTCCGTTGCATATTTTGAAAGAAAGAGAGAAAGAATAAGTGATTTTTAATGTATCTTCATTGTTGTGGCGACAAGGCACAAATCGTCCTAGTTTTGGCGAAACTGTGTCAAATGGAAATCATTTGTTGCTAACGGAAATTAAAAAGTGTCATCATAACACATACTAGGTACATGTGAATGATAAAAAGAAGTCGATTTCAACTGTTTTATAGACTTAAACTAAAGTTTCTGAGGTTGGCGGCCAACTTTGCTATGTTGTCGGAATGATAGATGGTATCTCGTCAGCTCCGTGCCTATGGTATGTAGGGTACAGGGTGGGTACAGGTAAGGAAAACAGCTGTCTTAAATGGGGCCAAGTTGAAATAGTGTTCAACTGTAAGCAGCAAATTAGAAAACAAACAAACAAAACTAACGTAGCAAGATTTATATGATATGAGATTAGCAATTGTAAACAGACTGAATTGTGCCGAGTTGAAAAGTTTAACATAGTAAATTTTGGCGTTATTTTTTAAATTACACCACTTCGTGCGGCAACTCTGAAACAATCTGTATGCTTAGTGCGAGTTTTTTAACGTGCTCGATAGCGTAAAAGTTAACTCAGGTTTTTGTTTGCCGCTAGGGGCGCTGTTCCAACTGCATACAAATTTGAGTTAACTTATACGGTATCGAGAACGTTAAAAACTCGCACTAAGCACACTGACAACAATAGGACATCAGTGTACGTTCGACATAGCTAAGTTTCACTCACCTTTTCTTTTTTTCCCCACCTAAGCTGATAGCCTTGAGAGGCTATATTAGCGTAGCCTTAACTAGTAGGTGAGCTCACGGGGCTCAAACCTGATGATGTTGCTAACACGAACCCTAGCAAGAGCCGTGCTTCGCAGAATCTACCACCGGATCGGAAACGCGACCCACTGAGAAGATCCAGCGAGAAACTCAGTGGGCTGTGTCTGAGGGTTAATTTACTCGTCGAGCCCTTCGTCACAAGCGACGGGTTCGACAAGAACGATGACGGTGGTGCTTGAGGTACCTAAAAGCACCGTTAATGGATCGGGAGGATCCGAAATGAAGTGTGTTTCACTCACCAAACAAACAGTGGCTCGAAGAACTGGAGCACGATAACGAAGCCCAGCGTGACGAGGATGAGCCCCAGGTTGAGGAGCAGCATCAGACAGCACATGCCCTTGACGTTGGGACAGAACGGGTTCGGCGCTGCCATCGCGTCTACTTTCACTCCTGCCTAAGAATTCCATAAATATTGTTTAATAATAAATAGAATCTTTTAAAGGCTAATTTAGTTTTGTTATAACAAATTATTGTTACATTTTACTTAAAGAGATAAATTAGGAAAAAAATAACGACAAAATGCAAAAAAAAATAGATAAAAAGACATCGGTGATGTCGACGGTAAATTATAAAACAAAAAGAAAATTGAACCCAAATCGTAAACGACACTCATTCACTGATAAAGGCAACAGAAAAAGCTATATTTTAGATTTTTATATTGTACTAGCGACCCGCCCTCGCTTCGCTTCGGAAACATTAAAACACATATGAAACTAAAAAAAAAATTAATTTTTTTTTAAAAAAAGTAGCCTATGTTCATCAGGGACAATGTCGGCTTCTAATGGAAAAAGAATTTTTCAAATCGGTCCAGTAGTTTCGGAGCCTATTCGAAACAAACAAACAAACAAATCTTTCCTCTTTATAATATTAGTATAGAGTATAGACGATCAATGTTTTCTGTATAATATTATAGGTTAGTGCTTTACAAATACAACTTGTTAACATTACCGGTGGTAGGACCTCTTGTGAGTCTGCGCGGGTGATTACCACCGCCCTGCCTATTTCTGCCGTGAAGCAGTGATACGTTTCGGTTTGAAGGGTGGAGCAGCCGTTGTAACTATACTAAGACCTTAGAAGTTATATCTCAAGGTGGGTGGCGCATTTACGTCGTAGATGTCTATGGGCTCCAGTAACCGCTTCACACCAGGTGGGCTGTGAGCTCGTCCGTCCATCTAAGCAATAAAAAATAAAAATAAAATGTTAGGGTTTGAATAAAATATACATCATAGTTATTACCTTCCTAGAAACTTTGGATCTGTGTGTAGACGCGACAGATGGCGCTACAGCGCTGCGGTAGGAATACACGCTGCGAGGAGCTCGGGACTGTCGACTGAAAGTAGAAAGTTCAATTTTGTAAAAAGTTTTATTTTATTTTAGAATTCATCAATTAAAGAAAGAACCTTAAACTAATCCTGTCTCCAAACTAGGATTTCCTGTACTATGTGAGACTAAATATATAGAGGATTATATACGATTTATATATTTTAAACATCCTAACGAGAGTATTCTCGAAAGGAGAATCAGGACACTGAAACTGCAATACTTTAAGACATTTCTTTTTGTATGTAACCAGCGACATCTTGTAGCGAATGCCCCTAAACTTATATGTTAAACACAGAAGATAAAAAAATAATAAGTGATACAAGTCTTTATTTGTTATAGACAAATTGACCAATTTTATCAATTTGTGGTTTCTGAAAATTTACAAAATCCCTTATTAAAAATAAAATGTAGGATAGGCAATAGTTACTGCCATCTTCAGGAGCAATGAGAAACTAATCGAAGCGAAGCCAGCTAGGGACCGACGCCCGTAAATATTGTTGTTGACTGTTTGAGTTGCTTAACTATAACTAATTTAAGTGCAGTATCTATATTATCTATGATGGGAATTGAACCTACGGCTCTTAGCACAGCAGCTGAGGGCTTTAACTAATTCTTCGCGGAGTCAAACGAGAATTAAGTTTTTGGAGTTTACTCCTTAAGAATCGATTTACATATATAGGCCCGGGGTATGAAAATTATGGGGACCAAAATCGTACTAGAGAGTATAGCATGTCACACGAAATGCGTTATGCGCCTGATTGGCTCCTGATTGGCGCGCGCACGCATCACCATTGCCAGGTGATGCGTGCGCGCGCCAATCAGGAGCCAACGCGCGGCCGCGTTATCGCAGGTGACGCCGGGCTGCTGCGCCGGCAGTCCGCCACAAAGCCTCGTACTGATCGCGCGTTTCTCTCATTATTGTATTTTCATATATTTGTTAGTCGTTTGTTTTGTGTCTCGTTAATTTGTTAATAATCTGTAGTGTATCGTGTTGTCGTAATATAGAACTATTTCTCGTATTGTTTCGTTTAATTTACCGACATCGTTTTGCTTGTGGCCGGACGCCGTTCGGGTTCGATTCCTGAACGTATCAACTGTTAGTGGGTTGATACCCGAATATAACCCGCTACAAATCATTTATTAATAAAGCTTATTAAATATAAACAATTCCTTCTATCAGTGAATGGACAACTT